CTCAGGCACTTCTCAGACGGTTTATTGCAGTTTTTTAACCAGCATAGCTCGCAGAAATGGAGCTCTGAAAAATTGGTGCTGTAGAAAAAGGAGCTCATTCCCTGAAACCACCTACATCCTGAGAAACACGCAGCCGCTTTTGATTCGCGTTTAATTCCGTTATTGAGCACCTGGAGCTGACGTCACGTGCCCTTGTGATTAACCGGACTTCGCATTAAAGAATCAGGAAGAGAGCAGCGAAGTTCAGTAAATTGCGAGTACCTCCCTGCTGCCCGATGGTTGACGCCAGAGTGATTGTGATTTCCAGATTTCGATTTACTTTCTCTTCCCAGGGTCAAAAAATGTAAACCTTTTTCTTAGTTCAAAAAGCCTTGAGAGGAATTAGAACTTTTGCTGTACAAAGCAATTTGACAACCAAGAAAAAACTCAGCCATACTGATTCTCTAGGCGATCCGAGGAAGCTAATATGAATAAATAAGAAAAAAAACTTGAAGGAAAAAATGCTCTTCCTGAGATACGTTAGCACAGAAGCAGAAATTGTTGCTGATTACACAAAACACTGAACATGCAGTGAAAAGAATGTACGACAGAATTGAGCCGAAAGGTAAAATGATCTATATATAGCTTATATGCGGTGAACGTGCTGACATAATGTAAGCAGTAATTTATGTATGACTCACAGGTGGCCGAGACTGCTTTAGAATTTAGACTGCTGTTCTCCACTCACCAACTTCTTTCTTTTGTTCTACCAGCAAAAAGGTTCCACTTGTATACTAAACGAAAGATTTATGATATTGCAAAGAGTTTCAAACAGTATTTGTTTGCCACAAGTAAGATGTTCAAGCTCCTGTTAGTATGCAAGCATTGTAACATTGCTGACTGTGTTTGATACTAACATACGAGTCCCCAGGAAATTCTAGATGTTTGATGTAAGCATTTCACTTTTTCATTTAGCCAAGAACTATACAACAAGGTCTTTGATCCAACTCAATATTTTCTACTATCCACCGCTCTCTTACAAACCGCTCAAAATGACATAATGTGATAAGGATATGACATGTTTTGAGCTGATAGGTCTAGCGCTATATGGGAGCCTATTTCGTCCAACTGGGACTCATCAGCAGCACCCTCCATCGGTTCCGCCGATCCCTTGAGATTTAATAATCGTCTACGGAACCTATCGGCTCAAAACATGTCATATCCTTATCAGTTTAGATCATTTTGAGCGGGTCTATAAAAGATCGGCTGATAGTAGAGGTGTGTTTCATCATAAAAGCCGCAATTTCGACTGCCGGTCGCCACAACGTCAGGTAATACCATCATCCGACTTAAGGTGGATAATTTCTACTCGGTGTCGATACCTTTAGAGGATCATTCAACCTCAACGGATTGACGTAACCGAAGAAGGGTGCTACTGATGAGTCCCAATAGGACGACATAGGCGCCTATATAGCACTAGACCTATCGGCTCAAAACATGTTATATCTATAGCGACTTACTTTTTCAATTTCAAAGTAAATACGGAAAAAAACGTCGCAAGCTTGTTGGAATTTGCACGACTCAATAAAATGAATCAAGCAATCCATGCAATTGCATGAGTTATTGATGTCTGAAAGATATTAGTGATGGTTTGTTATACATGTCATGGACATCTTTTAATATTCTGTCAGTTTATTCGCTTCTTCTTTTTTTCATCTCAGATAATATTTGGTAGCTGTTCTTCTTACCTCAGCTTTTACATCGCTCTTCCTCAAGCTTGCAATGAAATGACCTTTCATGCGCACTGAAGACACCAGAGAATATTTATTTTAGTTTTGATAATTATATAGTCCTTGACAGCGTATGTTTTGTGCGAGAGCTGGCAGATGAACTCCCACCGTTTTATTCAACAGAGAGCACTATATACAGATGTTGATATTTCATAACAAAAATGAACTAGACTGTTCTGACATCACATGCTTTCAGTATCAGCTGGCAACGTGCATTTTCAAGGAAATGTCAAATCACTCTCTTGACCATGAACAGAGCACTGTTCAACACAAAAACTGTGGTTCATTCATCATTGCTAATTGTCGGAAATCGTCCGGTACGTTATTTGCTGCTATATTAGATAAGTGACAGATTCTGCACGTACAATGTTGGTAGATGTGGTTGTTGGTGATGAGGCTACTGAGACACGAAACAGATAAAATAGACAGAAGACGGTATTTTTTCGTACGGACTACGGTGAACGCAACACACACACATTCCTTTTTACACAAAACAAGTATTACACCAATGAGTTCGATTTCGGAGACTTTTTTCAAAAGATCACTCCAGCGATCCTAGTGGATTACTTTATTGATAGAATTTTGTACCTCGCTAGTTCGATCTACCAGAGCAGTTATCTCAGCGTCCTTCAGAATCTGTCGACGGTGGACCGTTCTTCACCGTTAATTGTTACAAAATGTGTTCATCTATTCAGCTGACCATTGAAAGAGCATAACTCACATCGAATTTTTTTCGAATACACTCTAGACACCTCAAGTGCACTTTAGACGTAGCCTGCATGAACACGACAGTTATGGCGCGTTAAAACCACTTCTTAAGCGTGTAAAACCCATCTTGAATCCTCCACCTATCTCTTAAGCCAAATAACAGAAAACCGTTCAAAACTGGTTCGTCGAGTTTGCGTTGATTACTGATTGCTAAATGCTATGCTATAAAAAAGGTTGCCTATATCCTTCGTTATTGCTCAAACCAAACAACCGGGAAAATCTTATTTACTGAACTAATTGTCGCAACCACACTCACCTGCTGTGGCGGTATTTTTCATGTTCCGAAAGTGCGTTAAAGAACTGAAGCAATTCCAGTGTTAGCCCTGCTCTAATTAAGAAAATCGCTACTAATGCTTAAGCATCATTACCAGATGTGGCGAAAGTATGAGAGTTTTACGAATGACGGCTGCTACAATCGGCGTGGCTTCGGCGAACTCAAGTGCTCATTGTAATAAGAAATCAAATGATTTCTTGCGCGATTCCAAACATTTGCTATTTCGGTTGTTATCGGTCAGGGAAATCTGCTAATAAACCATATAATCAGCAATGATCAATGATAAGCAATCATTTGCTGACAAGAAATAAATGTCTTCTTCTCTGAGAGAATGAGTGTCTGCTTGTTGTCTAGCGTTCTCAAAACAGCATACCCTGTCAGTTCCAGAAAACCGTTAGTACACTCTACCAAGCATGGAAATTGGGCTGACTGAGCTGGCGGTTTTTTGCCGCCAAGCAGCATTAGACGCAATGCGTGTTGTTTTTGTGGTAGACCCAGAACTCATCTCTAGCGATAATCGACTTAAAGAAGTCTCGTATTTGCGGTCGTAGAAGAAGGACCTTCGCAGATGGTCACGCCTGCAAAGCGGTCGCTGTTGGTGAATGCATGAGATTCCCTTAACGATAATATTTTAGGTAGCCCATCCCCATCTACATATGTAGCGATGGTGCCACGGCTGTATCCAGAAGCCTGGCTAAAGCTACTCAAACATTCTCCAACATATTGCAATCTTTTGACAATAATTCATTTAGAACAGGAAAAAATTAGTAAAAAAACTAATGCAAAAAAGGGTGATCTGAAAGGCTCGCCGGACATGTTTTAAAAAATCTCCATTCGCTGGATTTCTCTAGACGGCTGCTGGCGTATTTACAGCTCTCAAGGTGGAAGAAATCCCAATGAAACAGCGCCACAGGCAGATTATTAGGTCTAGACCTATCGACAAATTTATGATTTGGAGCTGATCAACACAATCGATAGAATACGGTTGTCACCAGATCGAGTCCATAGATCATATTTGGGTCAACTTCTCCGTTGAAAAAAAAATTTTCGAAATGTGTAAGCAAGTTGGCCCTGAAATGCTCACATTCTGCTGCTGATTTTACGGCAGAACTTCTGATGATGGTTAAGTAGTCATCACTGGGGTTTATGGTCAGCAATCATATGGCGTTCAGCTCGTAAATCTTCTCGAAATGGAGGATAAGAGTGCGCAACAGATGGAGCTCTGCAAAGCTTCTAAACTCCATCGAGAGGGCGAAGAGATGGAAAGAAAAATGCTCATGCGAGACGCGGAGCTCAAACAAGACAACAAAAAAGCGGTCGCGCTGGAGAACAAGCTTAGAAGCCATTAATAAACTGGTGAGTTCTAGAACTTATTCCACGATGAAGTTCAGATGATTTGGCAGATTTTAGAGCGATTACCTAGGTAGTAAGCAAAATTATCATCCAGAATGGCACAAATATGTTGCAAAACTATATCGCCGATCATCTCAGACTGTAATCGCGAAATGATGGCAGTTTAAAAATCTAATTTTAGAGCGCATTAGTTGAACTTTGCGAATATGAGAAGAAAACCGTGGCCAGCTATGAATCTGCGGTCGAAGTTCTAAGCGAAAGGTTCAGAAAGGAAAGAGCCAATTTCAATGCTAAGGTTCAAAATTTTCTTTCACAAAATTCGTCATCTTCGTCTTACCCTTAAACTGGAAAAAAGTGTTGCCATAGTCCTTGAAAAGCGAAACAAACATATATGACGAAGGCGCTTTCATTAAAACTTTTCCCTCTTATGTGACTTTGAGGAAAAACCGACTGAGAGCTACGATTTGTTCGTCGATAGAATTGGAAATCGCGCCGAATTATTATTAAATCGCTAAGTAGAAAGTTCATATCACATCACCACTATCACTGAGAAATTCCTCAAAAAAAATTTCCGTAGAGCAACCCCCTACTGACTCTCAACCAGTTTTTTTTCTGTGACCGATGGATCAACTAGAATGATCACTGCAGGCAGCGTATAGAGGCAGCGCTGGCTACTACAGACCAAGAAGTTGATCCCGCGTGGAAAGAGCCAACGCGTCGTTGGTTACGTCGTCGGACGATTAGGTCCACAGTAATTACTGATGACTCGACTCAAGCAGGCGTGCCGCCGCATCTTCCATAACACCGCATGCCAGCTCATTGCAAGAGACATTAGCTGGTGTAGTGACCGGGAATCGAACCCGGCTTTCTCACGCGGCAAGGGAGCACTCTACTACTGAGTTACTCGGCCGGTCTATTGAAAGCAAAGCAATAGGGTGAGTATTTTGAAAATTTGGTAGTTTATTTTATTCTATATTCTTTAATCCTTTGCGGGTGGTGACATTTCGACTGGCGAGTACTTCGGACGGCCACGAGTAGAGGCTGCCGCGACCTCTTCCTAGTGCTAATGTGGTGCCCAAGAGAATTAAGTGGCGAGCAAAAATAAAAAGCCGTAAAAATATTATAATTCTGGAGTATTCCATCTAAAAGTGGCTGTCAGCTCAACTGGGTTTATAGAACGAATACGCATACCCGACCAAACCTAATAGAGGTTGGTGGCTGATAGCTATCACAGGATGTTGAAGGATGAGTGATGTACTTCGGTAGTGTAGTGGTAGCACGCGTCACCGGAATGGATGAGACGCGTTTTCAACTCCCGTCTGAGGCGGTGTTTTTGCTCACCACTAAGTTCTCTTATGTATATATGTAAGATCGTAAATGTGCGAAAAAGCAGTAAAAATATTAGAATTCTGGAGTATTACAGCTAATGTGATAGTTCTCTAATGAAATTTATAGTTTTCTCTTCAATAACTGTGATTTTGTGTCAATAACTGGACAAATATGACAGAACAAACTTCAGTAGGATTATTTTTACTGGAAAAAATGCAGTTTCTCCATTTAGAATCAGTACTTTTGATAAGAAAAAGTTTTGTGAGGCTATTATTTGAACCGTTATCGGACATATTTATGATATTTTATTTATACTTGTGACAATTCTTTACAGTTATCTTGTAAAAATTACTCATGCAAACATCTCATCAATGATATTATATCGTTTTTTGATTGAAAAGTTCCTCTGAGATCCCAAATTTTTTATGTAGCATGCATTTTCGTAACCGTTTGAACGGTGCGCCCAGTTGAGGGTCAAAATGACCCTTATCGCCTGCAAAGGTTAATCTTTTTCTCGTCTTGCTTTCGTACTCTGGTGTACTCTCTGTACTTCTCCGATAACGCTTTTGTTTTTTCAAGTTTAGCAATCATTCGATAGCTTAAAGCACTAGGATTTTGATAGCGTACTTCATTTTTGAAATTGCTCTTCTATGGCGCCGTTTAATTAAGAGTAAAACTGTGTTTCACGCTCAAGAAATTTCCGCCGAACAAAGTTTTTCCTTGAATATTTAATGACCATTCTACAGCACAAATCCGACGATTTCAATTATGCGCTCGGTTTTTGAATAGATTTTTTAGTGAGTTATTGCAGCGAAAAGAGCTTTGGGTTTCTCGAGTTTTGCACCAGTAAACGAGATAATTTGGTGCCCAATGTTGCCGAACCCTACCCAAATAACCGGGTAAAAGCGCGGAGCATGCTGTAAGTGTCGCGCTGCGCAAAGCCCAACTTTCTTTTAGCCACTAACGCTCGCTGCGCTAAGAAGACGTTTCAGATGACAAAAGACATTGCCAATATCGTCGAGATTTGTGACATCAAAAGGTAATTGAAATTACCTCATTCAACGAATACTTCTCAAGTGTAAAATAAAATTTTATTCTCACTGTCGTAACGCTAACTAAACTGTCGTTTGAAAAGAATAAGCACTGTTGATAATTTTGTGATTTCAACTATCGAATGATAGCTACAACCTTGAACAAAAGCACAAAGCACTTTTTTTAAAAAGGTAAATAAGGTGGCAATAACGGAAAGTACCTTAGGTACTTATAAGTTAGACTGCGACTAAGGAAAAACGCGATCTCATTTGTTGGATAGAAACTTTTTAGAGGAGTGTTAGCAATTATGGAAAACCCTAAATCTCCCTCTCTACACTTGCATGTGGCCGGTTTTTCAAAAGACCGTTTTGACGATATCGTCAGTAAAGCGAAGATGGTTTAATTGTCGACCGTCAAGTTTCACTTCCATATCGTCCCATTTCAATGTTCGCATGACGTTTTGTAGGGTGGCAGTGAATAGTTTTGGCGAAATTGTATCGCGTTGTCGAACCCCTCTTCTTACGTCAATGGTGATATTGTTGTAGAATGGAGATATTTTGGTCGCGAAATCTATATAAAGCTCACGAAGGATCATTTTGTACCGAGTAGGGACGCCTTGGTTATCCAGAGCCTCTATAACCGCTTCTGTTTCCACTAAATCAAAGGCTTCAATTAGTTTTGTAATCACTGGATGTGATCTGTGGTAGGAAATACTTTTCGGAACCCTGTTGTTTGCATGACTGTCTTTGTTTGATGTTGCGTCAATCCTGTTTAGGATGACTCGAAAAGAGAGTTTATAGACAACGCACAGCAAGCAGATTTGGCGATAATTACTTATGTCATGAAGGTCTCCCTTTTTGAACAACAATACGGTCCTGCTGGTTTTCCATTGAATAGGGACCTTGCATTCTGACAGGTAGCGAGTGAAGAGCCGAGCCAGGGTGTTGATGAGAACTGGCGGCAGGTTCTTCAGGTGTTCTGGTCTAATCCTGTCTGAACCGGGTGTTGTTCTGTTTTTCACCGACGATATAGCATGTCGGATTTCGGAAGGAAGGACCGGTGGAACGACATATTCGTCCTCTTTCAATTTATATGACGGTAAGAGAACATGGCTAGCGAAGAGATCCGAGTAGTATCGGTGAATGATTTTCTCCATAGCCCTTCTTGCAGCTGAAAGTGTCCCGTTAGAGTGTCGGAGTGCAATCATCTTGGTCCTATAGTTGGCGAAGCCTCGCTGGGCTTTGCGAATGCTCTTCCCAGCTTCTGCAGCTTCTGCCATAACTGCTGCTCTTCTCTCTTTTAGGTCTTCTTTTATCGCTTCTCTGCAGCGTTTCGCAAGTTCAGACGTAAAGTTTTGGTTGCCTGTAGCTCGTGCGATTCCACGTTCACGTATCAGCTCGAGTGTCTGCGGAGACAAGTGTCTCTTTGTGATCTTAGGACTCTCGGCTTTCGTAGCTCTAACGTTCGTACTCTTCAGTCGATGTTGTCGACAACGGTATCTTCCCAAGAGCCTACTAATGATTTGAACACATCCCAGTTTATGGTAGTTCTGGGACTTCGTTGTTTGGATTTAGCGGCTTTCTCTCCCCTCCTTGAAAAACGGAACGTTGCGCGAAGGAGGCGATGGTCTGATCCCGTGTAAAACTTAGGAACAACATCGACATCGGTCAGGCAAAACCTTTGATATATTAGAATGTTGTCTATTTGTTATGGTACTCTCCATTGGGAGACTCCCACGTCCGTCGCTGAGAAAGAGGCTTTTGGAATTGCGAGTTACCATGGATGGTTTGAGTTGTCATGATGAACTCAGACAGCCTCTTACCCTGTTCATTCCATTCTAGTCCGTGGGTCCCTATGTGACGTTTTTCAGACGTTCTTCTAGGTCCAGTTTTTGCGTCAGAATCTCCGACAATGACCTTGAAGAATGTATGATCTTCTCTGAAGAATTTTTCGAGGTCCATATAGAACGCTTCGACTTCGTCTTCGTCATAGCTTGATGTTGGTGCGTAAGCAACGAAGATTGTCAAAGCCGGCAGAGAACCACGTCGTTTCAACCGTAATCGTCCGATACGGGTTGTTAGCTGTTCGAACGAGTCAATGTTCACGGTCAAATTCGATTTGACGAGGACTCCAACGCCGCCGACACCTCTGCGATCGCATGTCTTAAAGAATAGTTCTTCTTCCGGTGTCATAAACAGCGTGAAAAGGATGGCGCCTTCTCGTCTCAGTCAGGCCGATGACGTCGTACCTTATTCTTCTTGCTTGAATCAATAGATCTTCTACAGTGGATTCGTGAGCAAGGGTTCTTGCGTTGTAGGAACAGATCGTCATTTTAGTCCGTTTCGATCTTGGCAGCCTAGTTCGGCCCTGAGATTTTAGCAGCCTCTCCGTACTCGTCCTACGTGGCGCTGCCGTACCAGGGGCTCTTTCGGGGTCAGGGAATGAGTCCCATATTTGTTACTGTTTTTGGCATTTTGATACCCAACGTATAGCTTGCTAGGCTCTAAACGTGGGGGCTGGATACTCACGAGTAGCTTGCCATTCTCGCTTGGAGGAGCCGGAGGAGCTTATTTGTAGGAGGCGACTCCTAATCGCCTCCCTTGTACTTTCCAGCCGCTTGGTTGCAGGCTTTTGGCCGACTTGACTCATAGAAATAGAGTTTTTGTTACGTCGGCGCTGCAAAAGCAGGTTGCTCTCCCCCTGAATCCACCTGCGTCTCCGAAAAGCAGACGGTCGCTTTGGTTCGCGTTTATTCCCCTATCCACCACCTGGGGACGCGCCACGTGCCCTCGCGACTAACCGGGCGGGATCCCTCAAAGAGGGAGATCCATAGCTCACTACATACATGGAAACAAATACACTTCGAAATCGAAACGACTGACTAGTTCCTCAGACAGCAATATTTCATCATCTTGATAACATAGCATGCTGTAGAGACATTTTCGGAAATCATGTCAGCTCTTGAAGGGCGCCGTAGCAGAGTGCTTGTGATGCCCGTCGCGGCGCTCGTAGAACCGAGCTTTACCCTCTTTCCCTCCCCACACTCCCAAGTCTCTCCGGCAGTCAACAGCAACGTCATGTGGAACGCCAGCATGCTATTCTTGAGATTATGAGAAGACTCTCTCAGCAAGTGTTCTACGACGTTCGAGAAAAAGACGAAAAACGAATTGAATTCTAGAAATACTAGGATCCGCACAGTGAAGAAGATACACTGTAAAGACAGATCGATAATGTGTTTATGTGAGTAATCACAACTAGAGCCGTGTTCATTTTCGCAACCATATGGTATTACCGTTGAAACATAGTGAATCTTAGGGCACTTGAATGCTTCTTTCAATAGAAATCTTTCGTGGAACTCTCTTCTCTGGTATTATTAAATAACGGCGGTGATATTCCCTCAAAACAACCCCAAAACTCCTTTTTTTCATTGCGGAGCGCCAACGCTTATCACTCGACACGCGACGCGGCTATTAGCGCATCAGATAACATATATTCTTTGTCCATCGTGTTAACGAGCAAAATTCGTATCTTCAAATCGCTAACGTGGCAGATTCGTACCATCATTTGTCTCAAACTTCCTTCTTTCATTATTATTGATCTTTTACTTGAGAGTGTGGCAGTGAAAAGTTTTTGAGATAATCTAGTCTTCAATGCGGACCACCTTCCACTCTCTCTCAATGAGAAGCTTCTTGAAGGTGTAGTAAGGCGAAAAAATGGAATCGAAGCAGGTTCAGTCAGCTATGCCTGCAGCTGCTATTGAAAAAGGTAGGTGCAAGCAATGTTATGATCTTTAGGTGTATGCGGCTGTCCTAGAATCATTTTAGGAACGCGACAGTTCGACCAGAAATTGGATGAACTTTGACGAGTTCTAGGAGAATGCTCGTTGCTAGAAGCAAAATTAGGCCAGACGTCGAAGGCGAATCAGCTGTGCCAACGTATGATTGATGCTCTACAGGTGAGTAGTTC